ACTGGCCCTAAACCACGCATGATAATAGTAATGATAATAATGATAATAACTCCATCATAAAATGACGGAAATCTCCAGCTCTGTGGCCCTGGATGGGTGCTCTTTCCTGCCTCCAGTGGTCTACTCTTGGTTTTCAGTACCGAGCTGGGTTTGGAGAATTGTGTGGAATTGGGGGAGAGAGAGAGAGAGAGAGAGAGAGAGAGAGAGAGAGAGAGGAGAGAGAGAAAGAGAAAGAGAGAGAGAGAGGCTTAGGGGAGGGAATGGTGGAGAAGGAAAGAGACCATTCATGCAACTTGGGAATAAGCCCTTGTTTTTGGCACAGTGCCATTTGGGATTGCAAGGTAACACAGCAATCCTGAGCTATTCAAACCTCCCTGGCCTTCCTGCGCTGTGGTGGGGACAGGGAGGCGGTGACTCATAACCCCTCATGAGCAGCCAAGCACCCTCAGGGCTGTGTGGAAAGTCAGTTGGCATCAGTCACATGCCTGCCCTGGAAGGGAACATGCACTCCCCTCTAGCCTACCCCTCAGGGTTACAGAATTGAGTGAGGTAGTGCGAGTAAGGAAGCATTAGGGAGGTTAAAATAAATTAGCCCCAGAAATGGAGGGAAGAACAGCAAGTGAAGATGAGGGGAAAAGTAAAGAAGGACTGTCTCCTTCTGTTCTTTGTCCCTCCTGCCCAGGCTGTGTTTATCGAAGACTGTGTTCTCACCTGGGTAGAAAACTTCACCTGCGGCCCAGCTGCCTGGCAGGCAGACAGAGTTGCCTGGGGGAACAGTGGTGTCAGTCCACCAGGTCGAGAGCCATCTTGGCCTAACAGGTACCACCTGACTTTACCCCCACTGCCAGGGACATTAGGGAAAGCCACCAAAAACAGGCTGTTCCTGGAAGTTGAGGGAGCCATATTTTATCTGTTTTCCTCATCAGCATTTGAGAGTGGGGAATAGGGAGGAATGCTGGGACTCCCAGGAGGGAGTGTGAAAGGAGCCCTGGGAGGCTGGGGTCAAAGGCAGGTGGAGGGAGTTGCCAGGTGTGGGGATGTGGGAGGTGCTGCCCTGCTCAGCCCTCTGAGATGCTTCTGTAGCTCCCATGTTGCACACCTGCCCCATTCTTTTCTAAAAATGAACACAGATTAACTGTACATATGAATGAGATTCAGTGTGATATTTCTAATCATGCCTGCAGCATGCACTGATCAAGTCTAAACCCCCTGCCCCATGCACCCTTCACAATCTCTAGTAGTCACCACTCCTCTTGGGCAGACATTGTTAGTTTCCACATATGAGTGAGAACAGGCAGTACTTGTCATTTTGTGTCTGGCTTATTCCACTTTACATCAGGTCCTCCAGTTCCATCCATTTTCCTGCAAATAACAGGATTTCATCCTTCTTTCTGGCTGAGTAGCAGTCTATTGTGTATATATACCACATTTTTTTCATTCTTTCATCTGTTGATGGGCCCACAGCTTAGCTCTTGTGAATGGTGCCCCACCCTTTTTAAGGCTAAGTGGTTGGTGGAGCTCATGGTGGTGGTACAGGTCGGGTGGACACAGGTGGGATATGCTGGGTCCTGGTCTAGCTTTTCAAAGGGGCTTCTAGGTGAAGTTGGGGTGGGATTTTTTTTTAGTACCCTTCCCCTGCTTCCTCAAACACTGATACAAATCAGAGCAACCACCAGAATACAGACTGATGGAGGGGTAGAAGGATCTGGAGGGGAAGCGGGTATTAATTTTTATTTTCCCCTATTTTCACGTCTTTGCTCAAAAGTCACGTTCTCAGAGAGGCTTCCTCATACATTGTAACCCAAGGAGCCCGCCCTGTCCACTGTGAATAATGGGCGAGCTCATTTGAATTTCTGAAAGCCCCTGTAGGAGGATGGCTACACAGAGGATCTGCACAGAGCTCATTTTCCTCCTTAACATTGTCACTATCTGGGCCTCTTGTTTTTTTTCAGTCTGTCAATGGGTTTATTATGGTCTGTTGAAGGAGAAGGAAAGATTCATGAGGATACAGGACTTAGCTCTTTCGTATCAAAGGAGCTGGAACTGCTCAGGCACACATTGATGCTTAATTAAAAATTTACTGAGTACATAAGGGCAGACAGTGTTCCCAGAGGAAGTGGCAAAATTCTTCTCGTTAGAGTAAAAAGTCTGTGAGTTCCCAGCATTATTCTGTAGTAATACAGGGAGCTTTTGGGTCCTGTTCATCTAAAGTCTCTCTAAAGGTGGGCTTCTAGCCTGGCACTATTCACATTTAGCTGGTGCGTTCTTTGCTGTGGGGCCTGTCCTGTATGTTGTAGGGTTTTGAGTAGTATCCCTGGCCTCTGCCCACTAGAGATACTACCAGCACTGCCCACCCACGTGTGACATCCAAAGATGCCCTTTTGTCAAAGGTCCCGGGGAGGTGGGGTGTGTAAAATCAGCTGAAAACCACTGTTCTAAATTAAACCAGGTGTCTCTCTGCCAGCCACACATTGAATGAGCAGCCTCAGCTTGGCACACAATGAAGCGGTTCCCTTTCCATCTTTCCCCCAGTTCTGCATCAATCACATCATAAAAAGAAGGAAGACAAAGGAAGGAAAGTCAGCTGACACACTTTCATGGTGAGACGCATCTTTTAGTGCCACAGTGGTCCCTCAGATGTCAGCCGAGATGTAGAATTAGAAATAATTAAAGCACATAAACAAACAAAGAGCTGAGGCTCTGTGGCCCGTGGCACATCACACAGACACCAGCTGTCACTGGAGGGTGGCTGCAGGGGGTTTCTGCAGAGGCGTGGAGTGGGCTGCTCAGAGCCTCTTCTGGGCCCAGGATCCCGTCCATCTGTAGTGCCAGCCGTGACCATGATGTAGAGTGCCTGCTGTCTCTTGCTGTGACCAAAGGGGCTTTCCCAGGATTCAGCAGAGGACCCGAGGACTGTGTTGGTGGCGGCCAAACAGGGCTAGAGGCTTCTTTTTTTTTTAAACTTTTAAATCAAGGTTAAATGAGGTGTTGGCACTCATTAAAATTCATGACAGAGGATGTAGCAAATGAGGAATTCAGATGATATCAGTTCATTAGAGAAATGAGAAGACATGAGAAAGAGCTATGAATCATTTTAATATTTAGTTGGAAATATCTGAATCTTTAGGTCTATTTCTTATCCTTGATGGCCATGAGAAAATAAGAAAGGGTGTGTGTGTGTGTGTGTGTGTGTGTGTGTGTGTGTGTGTGTGTATGCACAAGACACAGCCTGCCAAAGCTTCTCAGAAAGTTCTTCATGGAAGAAACTTAAGGAAACTAAGGAGAGGGTTTTTCTGTTCTTAGAAATGCATACATTTCTGTGACTGCATCATAAGCCTTTATCTCATATTAGTGTCACATATTGTAAGTGGAAATTTCTATTTGTTTGAAACTATTTTTGCTGGGTCCTGGAGTGTGAATGTTTTATGTTCCCTCAAAATTCCTCTGTTGAAATCCTAATCTCTATGGTGGCTTTAAGAGGTGGGGCCTTTGGGAAGGTGGAGCCCTCAGTAGGTGGAATTAGTGCCCCAATAAAAGACACCTGAGAGGGATTTCGAGTCCCTTCCACCATGAGGGGACATGGCTCCAAGTTGCTATTGTGACTCAAACTACACAGGAAAAAGAAGAAGAAAAAGGGGAAGGAGATCAGGAGGAGGAAGAGAAGGAAGAGACGGTGGGCCCTGACCAGATGTGGGGTCTGCCCATCCCCTGATCTTGGTCTTCCTAACTTCCAGATGGTGATAAGTATTGTTTGTAAACTATCTCATTCATGATATATAGCCACAGGCACCTGGACAGATTGTGAAATCTGGTTTTCAAGAAATAACTGCTGGGTTTTTTGCCCCTGACGATGGTGCTACCTATCTTCCTCAGCTCCTACTAGGTCTTCAGATGAAGGTGAAGGTGTTGTGTAGCTGGTTGAGCCCCTCACCTGCCTCATTCCTGATGAGATCCTGAGTACTGTCAGTGGTGTGGTTGCCACTGATGGCTTCTGGAGAGGAGGTCGTGGTTTATTATGTCTCTGCTTGCTCCTAACTTGAAGGAAGCTTCATAAGAACTGGAACTTGGTCTTGTTCACCTAGTTTCCACAAAATTGACGGTCAAGAAATGTTTATTAAACATGGGGACCAAATGTACACCTTTGCCTGGTTAATGTCAAATAGTTCAATTGAGTAAAGATAACACGGATAAGTGGCTTCGTTGCTTTAACTCCATATATGTGTGTTCTTTGGGACTTTCACTATTTTCTCTCTTGGAAATGCATTTGTTTGGGTCTCTTCCTCTTTTGATCTCATGAGCAATGCAAAGATGGTGACTTCCTAAACATATTGACCTTGGATCCTATACTGAGGCTATCATATGAGAGAACTGGCCTTATGGACTGTTTCTTCTTCTTCCTTGTCCATTTTCCCTTTTCCTCTCCCTTACTCCTTCTTTTCCCTCTATCTCCTCCTCCTCTTCTTCTTCTTCTTTCTCCTCTACCTCATCTTCCTCTTCCTACTCCCCTTCCCTTATCCCTTTTCCTCCTCCTCCTTCTTCTTGCTATGTAGCCTAGACTGGCCTTGAACTCTAGATCCTCCTGCCTCAGCATCCTGAGTGCTGGGAATACAGGTGTTCACCACCATGGCCAGTCCCTATAGCGTTCTGTTGAGAGGGTAGAAGCTAAGCTCATTGTGCCAGCAGTGATGAGTTCTGTCCTGGGGTTTGGTGTGTGGGCCTCTATGTTTCCCAGTATATATGTTTTCCCATTTCTAGGATTAACATCAACTCCCCAGTGTTCTGTTTTAGAACCCCCAAAATTTTCTTCATTCTCCCCACCCCCACTGTTTGCCAACTTCCCATCTTCCTAATGATCCACTCTGGCCTGAAGTGGCCTCAGGCAAGGGCCCAGCTTAGCCCTGGGCAGACACAGGTCATTTGCCTTGGTATCTGTGGGCTAGAAGGGTCAGAGGATGAAGGGAGTGAAGGTGCTTTAGTGACAGTACTGCTTCTTGTTTCAGGGTGCAGCAGAAGACCCCCAGACGGCCCTGGCACTGAACTTGGACCCTGTGTTGGTGAAGAAGTCTGATCCCGAGGGCCCCTCGCTGCTGCTCCCTGAGAGTGCACTTTCCATCCGGATAGGTAGCACTGGGCTTCTTTCAGGCAAGCTTCCTGCCACAGACGCTGAGCCGTACCAGGCAATGCAGATCGTGGCTGGTGGTAGAAGGGTGGGGGAAATGCCAGGTGCTCTGTCTGCCCTTACAGGTTGTTCACTCACTGTTCAGAGCTAAACTGGTATTCTGGCCCAGTACCCTCATTTCTCATTTGTTCTGGAAACCACCTACACAGTGTACTTGCAGTAATGAGTGGTACTTTTTGCTCCTCTGTCTAACTTGGATGAGTTGACAGGTGTCAGTGTGATGGGGATGGAGCTGATTTGGGTTTAGAAAATCGGCTTTGGTCTCTCCATTTCCCCTCTCTCTGACGGATCTTGCATGCCTCTTTTTGTTTATGTTACAATCATCTTGATTTATTTGGGAAATGGTGAAGGTGTCTCTCACTGATATTATTTGGAGCCAGAAAAACTAAAGACAGTGGTGGCAAAGCCACACCTTTTCTGTTGCATTAGCGAGAACAGACTCTTGAGAGGAATTGGGTAGCAATTCCTGAATCCTGGAGGCACCGGCTGGGCTGGGCTGCTTTCCCTTTGAGAAGTTGTTCATGTTGTGGGATGTGTTACTTCCAGCCTTTGGGGCAGCCTTCTCCCCTACATGCCTGGGAGTTGTTTTTTGCTGGGGGCATTTGGCTCCTTCGAGGAGAGTCCACCTGCCTGTCTTTTTCTTTTGAATTTATTTAGGAAGTCTTAGTTTGATCCTGGAGGTCCCAGGTGCTTTGATGTGTCTGCCTTAGGTCTCCCACTTCTATAACTCTTGGACGCTGTTGAGAATAGTACCTCCCTACTTACATGGCATGTTCTGCTGAGTGAGTTGAAGAAGCACATGTTGGCAACAGGTCACTGTCTTCATGGGAGTGATGGAAGGGGACAAAGGCCTTTCACCTCCCCATGCTGGCCTTTCAGTTTGGTGTTTTCACCATCTCTAGGATAAGATGATGTTCAGTGCTCAGAAAAAGCAAATGTAAGAAGGCAAGCTACAGCCGACCCATAGCCCGAGCTCAATGGTCTGTGTTCAGATTCTGTCCTGTGTGCATTATTCATGGGGACCTGGAATGTCTTCTCCACTCTGGTTAATCCTGCCTGCCTCCCATGACTTCCTGCGTGAGATATAAAGAGGAAGTAAGGTTCATCTCATAGGAGCTCAAGCAGTAGACGGTTGGAATGCCACAGCTGCCCTCTGCCTCCAGTCACACATCTTACCCAGCTTAAATTAGAATGACTGAGGTGTTGTTTGCTGTTCCCTTTTCTCCAAGTGTAGTCAAAGGCTGTCTCTGGTGATGCGACTGGTTGTCGTACTCCCCTAAAATTGTCATTTTTTTCCTGCCAAGTTCTGTGCACACAGGCACATGGCCTTTCTGTGGCTTCTCAGTGGCAATGCTGCTTCCGCTCCTGTGTGTGCCTTTGCAGGCTTTGCAGTCCTGATTCTGAGCTTTCTATAGTATGAGAAAGTTGACTAGACTTTATTCCATCCCATTGTTCATCTTGAGCTCATTTGAAGGAGCTAGCAGAGGAGCACAGCTACTTGTATGCCCTTGACTGAAGAACAGTCCTTCTCCATTAGGGAAGGTTGTTCTAGAAGCTTTGGGAGGAAGAGGACACCTGTCTAGCCAGCCAGATCAACCCAATCAATCCTGGGGATCGTCCTCACATCTCTATTATTTATCTTTAAAGCCCTGCGGGTGGGAGGTGTGGTGGAGATTCAGTGCCAGTCAATCAAACATCCTTTTCCATGGACCTTTTCCAGTGGAACCATGGCAAGGATAGGGCTGGGGGGAGCCAGCTCTGCAGGAGAGCCTTGGGAATTGCTGGCTCTTCTTGGGCAAGCCAGGATTAAGTGGTGCTGGGGCTGTGTAGTCGGAGATGCCGTTCCCTCCCCTGCTTCTGAACACCAGGCACAGCCTGTTGCTAGGTTACCAGGCAACCCTCCTAGTTGTTGCTAACTGTTCAGATACAGAGGCAAATGCAGCTCTTATGAAGTACATAGATGGTTTGCCCAGCCCGAGAGCACCCAGCCATCTCTTCTCACCTGGACACACCTGTGCTGTCAGGCATCTGGGGACTCTCAACACTGATAATGGTTATTTGATGACCAGCCTCATGCACACAGAGCCTGAATGTGCATTATTTGTACCATCTGGATTTGCCCTTAAGCTCCCTGTAACTGGAGCAAGGAGATTGGTTTAATGGGTATTTAGTGAGAAACATCAGCCTTTAAAAAATAATATTGGTGCTGCTGTTATCATGTCCTGTAATTGGTTCAGCAAGAGGAAAAGCCACCCTGTGGGAGGGAAGTTCAGCTGCTCTGAGTGGTAGCAGCAGGCAAGCGGGGCAAAGCATTTATGAGATAACTCTCCTATTTATGTCTTATGCCAAACATTTTACGATATCAGCTATTCTCAAGACTGGGGATATTTTGGGATTTAGCTAGGCCAGAGGTTCTTTTAAAATTTAAAACTGTAGTCTCTCTCTCTCTCTCTCTCATGCTTCCTTCCTTCCCTCCCTTCCTCTCCCTTTCCTTCTCCTGCCCTCTGTTTCTTCTTCCCCTTTCTTCCCCTGTATCTCTCCTTCCCCCCTTTCTACCTCTCTTTATCCATCCATCCATCCATCCATCCATTCCAGTTATCTTTCTTTTCATTTAAAATGTAATAACAAGAATTAAAAATTAAGTTTGTTCCCAACCTCAGGTCACTTATGGCTTAGTCCCCCATTTCAGACACAGACACTGCTTCTATTTCATTGAGTGTTCTTAAGGAATGCTATATCTATGCAACCATAACTAACCCACTGTCTATACCTTGTGATTTTGCACTTGACTATACATTTTGGCATTGTATGGGGCACCTCTAGATCCCTCCCATTCTTATTACTGGCCATGACATTGCAAAATTGATAATCCTTTAGACTCTTTCCAGTCTTTTGTTATTATGAAGGATGCAGCAGAGAACATTTTAATATGTACATCTCTGTGAACAATTACATTGTTGATAAATTAGGTAAAGGATCACATTGGAGGTCTGTTTGTGGGCACCAAAGGGTTCATGAGCCTCTTGGAATTTTGTGTAAGTCTTTTGTGTACATGTGTGCTTTTGGAAGGCAAAGGGCTATATCTCACACCACACTGCATGTCTTCATGACTCCATTGTGTTCTAGGTCTTGGGTTTTTTGCCTCAATTTCCTGCTTTCAGCTAAGTTAGACTCCCCCACCCCACTTATTAGCAACCCTCCTGCCTGGATCGGGGCCTGTAACCCAGGCTATTTTTTTATTAAAAAGGTGGGAATGGGACAGAATGGTTATTGAAATGTGCATGCAAAACTTTTTACAGAGGAATGAGAGCAAATTAACAACAACAAGAACAACAATTGCCAGGAGCTTCCTAGTATCATGGGTGTTAAGAAAGAAAGTAATGCAGACGTACCTTATTGAACAGGTCCTATTGAGCATGTCCTGGCTGGTGGTCTCTTACCAGGCAGATACTTTATAGATTCTTTGGCTTCCAAAGAGTGTTACACTTGATCTGAGAAATGCTTAGTACTCAAACAGCACTTTCCCCACTTCCTTGCCATTTTTCTTTTCTTTTTAAAAGGTAGTCCTGATTTTCTGAGCTAGCCAGTCATTTCAGAGTGCATTTTCATGTGGTCTGGCCTGCAGGCAGTTTGGCATTTATCTAAGTCAGCTTGGACTGCTCTTAGAAGAGCACACTCTGGGAGGCCCAAGCAACAGAAATTCTTTCCCTCATTCACTCTGGAGGCCGGAAGTCTAAGAGCAAAGTGGTGGCAGAGTAGGTTGGTTTCTCCTGGGGTGTCTCTTCCTTGGTTTGTGGGTGGCCATCTTTTCCCTGTGTCTCCACATGGTTGTACCTCTGTGTATCTGTTCCAACCTTTCTCCATAATCTTGTCTAGTTCCACAGTCTTAGGACTCACCCTAATGACCTCATTTTACCTGAATTAACCACCATTAAAGTCCTGTCTCCAAATACAGTTACATTTTGAGATACTGGGCATTAGGACTTCAGCGTGAATCTGGACAGTGGTGGGCGGGGGGTCACACAATTCAGCCCATCATAGTACTAAATTATTTTGCTTTGAAACGTTGTCTTCCTATGGCTGGTTGTCAACCTAAAGGAGACAACCACGTGACAAGAGAACCTGGCTCTCTGTGTTTCTGTCTTTCAGATTCTCTTGCTGTATTTCTAGCTGCTATGTTAGCCTGACCTGGGAGCACTAGGAATGCTGGGAAATAGGATGGAGAAGACTAGAGTGAAGCTGAGAAGTCACTCAGATGGAGAGAAACTAGCAAGCAAGGCAAATGATTTGAAGTCTGATGGTATAAGGTTGCTGGCAGGTGTGTACCCTCGGCCAGTGAAATTACAGGGTGCCCCCATTATCTGAGACAATGGGCCTGGGGAACTTTTGGGGAGAGTAGTGTGAAAATGCAGTCAAAAGTGCTCTCCTGACCTTGTCCCTTTCTCTGTGGCTACTATCACAAAATGCTACTAGCTGGGCAGCTTCCAGTGACAGCCAGAAATCTATTCTCTTACAGTTCAGGAGTGTCAGGGTTTGAAATCAAGGTGTTAGCAAGTCATGCTTTCTCTGAAGGCTCTGAGAGATGACCCTTCCTTGTGTCTCCTAACTTCTTATGGCTCCCAGAGGTCCTTGGGACCTCTAGTCTATGTCCCATTCGTCATTGTGACATGGGTGTCTGTGTCTCTGTATACTTATGCCCTGAACTTCCACTCCTTTCTCTTACAAAGGCACCAGTTTTTGGGTTCAGGGTCCATCTTAACCCAGCATGACCATTTCTTTTTTTAAATTAAAAAATTTTAATTTTATGTTTAAACAATGAATAATAATGATATATATTTCTTGGGTACAATGTGGTGTTTTGATGTATGTTACATTGTGGAATGGTTAGTCAACCTAATGAACACATCTGTCACCTCACTTACTTTTTGTGTGTGTCTGGCGCAAACGTTCTATAAACCTGCTCTCGGCAACTTTGAAATATATGTTATATTATTATTCACTCAAAAAACTTCCTTCTAACCGAAACTTCATGCCCTTTGATGACGTCTTAACTAATTGTTCATGCAGCACCCTAGTTTCCAAGAAAGGTCATGTTCTGAGGTTCCAGTTAGATGTGTATCCTGGGGAACACTCTTCCATAGGGTGCACTGACTGACTATGCCTATTCCCTAATCACCCCATACCCAAGCTTTGGGAGCTTAGTGTGT